CGATTTTCGGGATGTACGCGTAGTACTTGTTCCAAAAATACCAAAATTTGATAGTTTTTTTTTCTGAATCTGAGAGCCGCCATCTTGGATTACAAAATGGTGTCTGACATATATTTTCAGGGTGTACACGTCGAACCCGTTCCGTACATACCTATATTATAGAGTATATGACAGTTTTTCAGAATCTGAGAGCCACCATGTTGGATTCAACCCGTCATCCCGATTCCGAAAATGTACATAGTGAAGGGTATTTGGCAGTATTTTCCACTTTTTCTGAAATCGGCAGCCGCCATCTTTGATTTAAAGCTGACGCTGGGCATCGATTTTCGATCTCTAGACGTCATCCCGATTTCGAAAATATCAATATTGAAGAGTATTTCCTACTTTTTTCTGGAACTGGAAGCCGCCATCTTGGATTGGCGTCGAAAAAAATGGCGTCGGAAATTGATTTACGGGTTCTAGACGTCATCCCAATTCCGGAAATACCCATATTGAAGGGTATTTTGCAGTATTTCCCACTTTTTCTGAGATCGGCCGTGGTCTTCATGTTTTTAGTGCTACTAACAGCTGCTATCACCTCATCATCCGATATTCTACTATCATCATGCACTACTACGGGGGTATCAGCGACTCTAGCCATTGCCTCCAGTACGGCAGGCTCATGGGGGCTCACCATGGTTTGGCCAAGATTATGTGAAATCACAAAATGTAGGCCAAGAGCATTGGTCTTTTCAACTGAGGTTATGATTAGGGATGGGTCCATATTCTGGCCAACAACGGTGGAAAGCGGTGGGATCGGTCTCTACTTTTTTTTTCAAAATTTTGGGCATCTTCCAAAATGGTCTTGCACAATCTGGGAGAAAGCGAATTTTGTTTTTTTCCCTTGATTTGTTTTCCGTCGATCTTGTACGAGCACGAGCACCAATGCTACCGACGCCAAGGAGGCAGCTCCCACACCTGGACTCTACCTATCGACCCATCAACTCATGAACCGGGGACCAACGGCTTTACTTCCCTTCCGAAGGAATAAGAGATGAACTAGCAACTAGCAGCCTCAGGCTAAAAATCTCTAAAATAAAGATTAAAAAAAAAAAAAAAACCTTCCGAAGGAAGGCGTGATCAGAGATGTTATACCTCAGAACATCCCGGCGGCGCCGACTGGGATTGAACCTAGGCCTGCTGGGGTGAGAGGCAATCACGCTTACCACTACACCACCGGCGCCGCTAAAGCGAATTTTGTTGGCAAAATCGTTATTTCTGAGTTCCACCATCCTGGCCTGGATAATTTTGGTTAGCCTATTGACATTGGTCTTCAAGTGGGGCAGCCCAGAACGCTGGAACTACCTACGAATGGTGTTACGGAGCCTGATAAGATCTTTGGTTGGACTGTCAAGGTTCAGAGTATGACTCACCTGTCTGTATGCTGGTACATGTTGCTCCCTGGCACGGGATATCGCTTCTTCGATGGTTTGCAGACACCGATCGACTTCTTCGAACGACTCCGGTAGGACGTCGTAATCGATTGCACACAGCGCTAGTACTGCTGCCAGTTAACACATTGGTAATTTCGCCGGGAAACTTGAAACCTACTGGCCGAGGAACCTACTTCGGCCACCACTGGATAGTGGTCCGAGCTCAGTTCCTGATAGGCGATAGGTTGAGAGATGTTATCACAAATGTTGCTGATGAAGATGTCGATGGTGACATGAGCTCCGGATCGACTCAACCGGGTGGGAGTGTCCGGACACATGCTGTTCTAGTGGGCTTCCTGCAGATCGTTGTATAATATTGTGCCGTTCTGGTTTCACCGACTATTTCCCCTGGTTTGATGCTTGGCGTTCAGGTCACCAGCGATGACGACATTTTGCCGCCGTCTTGTTAGCTTGATAATGTCTCTTCGGAGGTCTGCGGCCGAGCCGTCTCTAATGTTGGTTTGCTTGGGGCAGTAGTCCGCGATGATGGTGATTGGACCAAGCGATGTGCTCACCTCAACTCCGATGGCTTCGATAATATTCAGCTGGAAGCTTGGTAGTAGTTGGCAGCTGAGGTTCCGTCTCGCAGCGATGGCCACTCCCTCTCCCCCGGAGCTGGTGCGGTCAAGCCTTACGAGCCGAAAGTCGGGAAGGAAAACGTTCAGATCGGGCTTCAAGTGAGTCTCGGTGATGACGGCTATGTCGATGTGCCATTCGTTGAGAAAGTCAACAAACTCGATGTTTTACCTCTTCAAGGAGCAAGCATTCCAATTGCGATCTTGATGGCATCACGGTCCATACTTAGTGACAAGCATGTAGCTGTTCAGATCGAGTCTTGCATGTGCGCCATATTGGATTCCAAAATAGCGTCTGGAATCCATATCTGGCCTCTACACGTCGTCCCTTTTCGGAAATTCACACATTGTAGGGTATTTGACAGTTTTTGTTGAGCCGATGGCCACCATCTTGGATCCCAAAATTTGGCCTGGCATCGATTTTCGGCCTCTACACGACGTCTCCTTCCAAAAATATCCATATTGTAGGGTATTTGACAGTTTTTCTTGAACCTATGGTCGCCATCTTGTATTACAAAATGGCTTCTGACATCGATTTCCGGTCCCTACACGTCATATCCAATCCGAAAATACCCATATTGTTGGGTATTTGACAGCTTTTCTTGAACCGATGGCAACCATCTTGGATTCCAAAATGGCATCTGTCATCGATTTCCGGCCTCTACACGTCGTTCCCTATCCGGAAATACCCATATTGTAGGGTATTTGACAGTTTTTCTTGACCCGATTGTCACCATCTTGGATTCCAAAATGACGTCTGGCATCGATTTCCAGCCTCTACACTCGTCCTTTCCAAAAATATCCATATTGTAGGGTATTTGACAGTTTTTCTTGAACCAATGGCCGCCATCTTGGATTCCAAAATGGCATCTGACATCGATTTCCGGCCTCTACACGTCATTCCTTTTCCGGTTCCTGTTCTCACATTGCACAGCAACATCTTATATGGACAAACTTTCGAGACATAACATATTAAGGAAGTTCATGTGCACACTAGCGCCGCGTAGTGTGAGAGTTCTGAAATAATATGACCATCATCCGAAAGGACTTGATCACCTGAACAACTTTGCTGAAAACAGCAACTTTCTATATGGCCAGGCTCTCGAGATACAGTTTATATAGGAATTGCACATGCACACTAGCGCTGCATAGTGAGATAGTTCTGAACTAATATGGCCACCATCCAAAAGGACTTGATCACCTGCACAACTTTGCTGAAAACAGCAACTTTCTATATGGCCAGGATCACGAAATATTCTATGTTGAAAATATGATCCATATATTATAGCGCCCGTCATAAGTAACATAAAAGTGAAGCGCCTCTAGCGGCGTAGTTCCCAATTTAACCTGAATGCAATGGCACAGGCTTGTTGGTCTAACCCAGTACAGCAACTTTGTTCAAGACAGTAAAGCTTTATGTATTGAAACAAATGAGATAATCCACTACAGCCCCCATTAGTGAAAATCCCATAAGCTGTGGGTATCCTTATTCGCGGTTCCTTATTCACGCCCCCGTTACCCCGGTAATAAGGATTCCTGACTGTATTTCAATTAAAAAATGTTGTTTATGTTCATAGAGTTTACATAATCCTTTTCCCTTTGTCCTTCTCCTTATCTTCTCTTTTCAGAAAGCGAGTCATGGCGCTATAGCCATAAGCCATAAAAGGCTACGACAAGAGTTAGTGCTCTTGTCCCAACCGTCAAAAGAAAAGGGAGTATCACTTAACCTTTCTAGCTTTGATGCTTTCAACGACCAACCAATTATATAATTACCAAAATCTGAACGTACGGTACGAGATGTCCACGTTTCTTCCATTCATTGGATTCTGAAGCATCGTGTTTAAATCTTCGATTCAAACAGGCCCGATGTTTTCTGAATCATCTTGCCCCTTAAATGCTGCACAGTAGGCCTGACCGTTTTGATATGTGTGACGCATCTTCGATGTGAAACATATACCAAATAGACAAGAAAAATGATGGAGATATATCCATCATTTTCCAGGATGCTTTCAAGAACTGGCACCAACACCAACACGTTAGATTAGATTAGATTAGATCGAGAGAAAGATAGAGCTTGTTTCCTTCTGCCTCACCTATAGATCTCGCCGTTCTCGCTCATCGAGACGAAACCAGTGAACTGAGATTTTTGACGTTTGATCAGTGCACTAAAACACTATCTCGAACAAGTACGAGCAGGAGGACAAATATTGATTCATCCCTGTGTGCTAGATAGAGAAAGTGCGAACAAACGTCAAAAAACTAATAGCGAATTCGTTTATTATTCAGTTCCAACCTGAATCGGGTATCAAGATTGGGTTTGTTTTCTAACAAACGTCAATTAGCTCGTTTGTTTTTACTCAAACATGAGTCAGACATATTCGATTTCATAACTTATTTTCAAACGTCAAAGCATGAATATGAGTAACATTGACTCAACAATAAATACATAAAGGCGGATCTCAATTTTGAGTTTTCAGCCTATTTGTTGACTCAAAGAAAAACCAAAATGGAATTGTGAGCAGGGCTGAAAAATCTCATTACAGCTAAAACGCTACTTTTCAAAATTAAGAAACTATGAGATATTTACTAAAATATTTTTTTTATGTAATATGCAAGAATAGTAGGTAAAGTTTGTGTAGGACACATAAAACACCGTCAGTTGCTTCCGTCTCCATTGTCTCGGGCTGATTTTTTTTTTTTTTTTTTTTTCTTTTGATTTGTTTTCCGTCGATATTGTTTTCCGTGCTGAGCACCAATGCTACCGACGCCAGAGAGGCAGCTCCCACACCTGGACCCTACCTATCGACCCATCAACTCATGAACCGGGGACCAACGGTTTTACTTCCCTTCCGAAGGAAGGCGTGATCAGAGATGTTATGCCTCAGAACATCCCGGCGGCGCCGACTGGGATTGAACCCAGGCCTGCTGGGGTGATAGGTAATCACGCTTACCACTACACCACCGGCGCCGCTGTCTCGGGCTGATCTACCGGGACATTCTCTTCATATTTTCCTTCGTCATCCTGTTGTTCAACGTCGGATGTTTCTTCTGGAGCTGTTTCCATACTTTCCGGCAGCTTTTCCTGAACTTCTTCAGAGCCCTTCTCCTTCACTGCAGTTTTCTTCGCCACCGGCATCCCAAGAATCCCCTTCTTCTTGGTACGCTTCTTCTGCGTCACCAGCTGCTGATCAAACTGGTCAACCAAATTACAGATTGGAATTGCAACAAATTCCTCCGGTTGCTGCTGCTCTTTCTCCCCGGGTTTAGCGACATTCGTTTCCGAATCTTCTTCTTGAGCCGATTGATTGGCAGCCAGTTCCTTCTGCTGCTGCTCGTAGAGCTCCTTCATCTTTTCCTATTAAGAACAAAAAAGACAAATTTAAGGTACAGTCTCAAATCTACTGATGCGGAAACCTTACCATCTCGTCACGGATCACATTGACCTTCGTCATGTAGAACTTGTACACATACTGTGCCATATCGGTCATATCTTTGATTACGGCGGGCTTCTTATCTCCGGTCTTGTCATCCACCTTCCTGGTGCTCGGGAGCGTCTCATCTCCGACAAGATGCAATTGAAGCGGACGCTTTGTCAGCAACTTGAATTCCGGTTGCAACTCGACGCAGTTCTTGAACAGCGAAACCCGTCCAAAAATGTACAAACCAAGCCGGGCACGACTCATGGCGACCACCAGACGACGCACGTCCCGAATGTGTCCGATCGTTTTAGTACGAACCAACGACAGCAGGATGTAGTCGTTCTGTTGACCTTGGTACTTGTCAACGGTGGTGACCTTGTACGGTTTCCCGATTAGTGGGTTATCGGCGCAACGAGCATCGATCACATCCCGAATCAGATGCTTCTGACCGTTGTAGGTGGTCAGAATGGAGATCTTCTCGGCTGGGTAGCCGATCATGCGCATGTACATGAACACCGATACGATGTATTCGGCTTCCGCCAGGTTCTGGTAGAAGTAGGGATTGGGTTCCGATTCACCCACTCCGTTGAAATCGTCCACGTTGATCAGTTGGTAATCGTACGCGAAGCCTGGATTGCAGTTGAGATACTCGGGCCACTGGGTGATGTGATCCAGATCACCGAGTTTAGTGTATCGCCATTTGTAAAGTTTGCAAATGCTGGATCGGGCACGACCTTGTCCGTCCAGTTCAATCGTCGGAACGCCCAATCGAACCAATCGGGTGAAGAGCGATTGTTCCATGTTGGAATACTTCTGCAATGCCATGTTTTTGATGACCGGTGGAAGCTGGTGATGATCTCCGATCATGATCCAACGTTTCAAACGGTTGTACCCGTCCATCGGGTTTTGAAGCAGCAGCGGAATGAAGTTTTCAATTTCAAGAATTTGAGCGGACTCCTCCATGAGGATGTTATCGTTCTTGAAGCCCATGTTGACCAACTCTTTTCTTTTTAGGGCGGCGTGCGTACAGGTCATAGCGATGACATTGCACAACTAGCTTCGTTATAATTAGTAGCTGATTGCGACACTCTGGACGTGAAATTGACATACACAAACCTTACCTCCTCTGTTTGTATTTTCTATATTTAAAAATTATTATTACAATATCGCAAAGATTCATAATATCTAAAAGTAGCATTTGAACTGTAATGAGATTTTTCAGGCCTGATTGTACGTACCGCAAATAAAATGATAATTAAAATAAAATGCTTGATTCAAATGCTTTTCAGTTTTTGGTTTATTAATCCTAAAGAAAAAAACGAAAAGGCACGAAATATTTGCCCATTTGCGTATTTTCGACTCATTTCCCTATATTTTGGATTCTATGGGAATGAGTAGAAATAGCTCATCAACAAAGACTTCGCCGTTCTACTCCAAATTTATTTCTGGCTGTGTTACTAAATTTAGAGTAGACAGGTTTTAATGAAATTGAGTGGTTTTTCACTCAATTTTGAGTAGCCACGAACGAGTGTGCACACAAGTTCTACACGGTAAGAAAAAAGTACCCAACGGAAAGTTCACGTTTACCTACTTTTGACTAGTTTGTCTCCTTTTCTCCTTCTAATGTTGTCAAAAACGAAGGAACAATACCACCCAACAGGGGTAGTAAAGTGTGGGAACCCAACGTTGAGTATAATCATATTTACCTACTGTTGGGTACAACTAACTTACTTTTGGTTAAAAAGCAAGTGGAAAATTCCATACGAACTGCACACAAGTAAATGAAAATTACTTTGACCCGCTTTACCTAATTTTGGGTTCCTGCACTATAGTGTGGAGATGAGTGAAAAGAACTTAATTTTGGGTACTTTTTTCTAACCGTGTAGTTTCAACGCGTTCAAGACGCATTTTACCGAAAAGGTGTTGCGGGTTTTTCATCGGCGTGACATAAATTTATTCGGTGGCGTGAACGATTTTACTGCGGCTGCACGCCGGTTCAATTTCATCGGCGGCGTGGTGCGGCGGCGCACAGGTCTACTTTCCGGTTAACGCAAGACGAGTAAATGTCAACTTTGGTAAAGCAAATATTTCGATTGCTTCTGCGAATTTTGAGACCCATGCTGACATTCATGAAGAAATTAGTCGAACCAGATAATTTTCCGATGCAGAATGAATTATCCGGTGGCATTCGTTCATAATTTGGCAAAGTTCATTGCACCTGTGCAAACAACCCGTTCACAAAACCCGTCATCGGAGGTCCACCCCGGTGAAAGTGCCGACGGCAGTAATGCCCATCTTTCCGGAAGTCAATCATAACTTTTTTTATTTCTGTAAACTAGTGAAAGACTTGCCTATTGTCTTTCAATATATACTGGCTGATTAATTAGCCTTGCATTAGCGCTGCTGGGACCAGCGAAAAATAGAAAATTCCTCAAGCACCCTGAAGCATAAACAGTCAATGGTTATTTTGCAACCATCGGTAATTAGTCTCAGCGAGATAATTATTTCTTCGTTCCATCGGTTTGCCTGCGCGGGCGGAGGCTGGCCAGCGCAGGTGTTGGGAGATTTTTTGCTGCCTCATACCGAATTTTACTTTCAACGATTATTACCTATAGTCACTAGCCAAGATGAGAGGGCGACGACGACGACGACGACGACGACGAAGACGTCAATCCGTCGAACCAATTTCGTCTGTTTCGGATCTAATTGAATTCGAATACAAATGAAAAGCGAAAACCATTCCACCACCGCCGCCGTTTAAACCCCGCTAGAGCTCCCCCTAATGATTGTCCCATTAGTGACGAGAGATGCAAATCGTAGGATTAATTTCAATCGTTCAGATCTCGGGAGAGAATTATTACTTTCACTCATGATCGACTTAAGTCGTTTAAGTGGTTGCATTGAGAAAACGCATTGCACGGCCAAGCTGCGACCCGATTCGGCAAATTGTTCGGAGGAAAATAAAACCGACGACGAGCGAAAAAAAAAACAACAACCAAGAAGCTAGGCCAAGTAGGTTTAGCATGCTCCAGCGAGCTACTTATGTGGCCGATGAGCTGGTCCCGAGATTGAGCGGAAAGAAAAGGAGCAAACCCCAAAAAGTAATAATCCAATTGCGGCAGCCGCAGAGAGTTTACGGTCTTGTATGACTTATTGCCTTCGCAAGTGAGCAATTACCGAGCTACCGATGCTGTTGCTTTTGATGTTGATGTTATTGTTGTCGTTATTATTGTGCCCAAAACCATGTCTGAATATGCGACTGAAGTTTTATTGCTTGGCTTTCTTCGAGACAGTTTTCTGCACGCTCCATCCGTTCATTTCGTCGGTTGATCCGCGGTGGAATTGATGACTGGAAATTGTTGCCCATTAAGTTCATTCCTTAGTGCATTTATTTTTTGCACACCCTCCATCATTATAAGTCTTTTTTTCCTCATTTTCAAGAGGTGAGCTGCTCACTTTTTGACGACACAGTTTATGCGGATGGTTTCCCTTTTGAATTCCATTTGGATGGGATTTCCCTGATGTTTTGGGTTTTTAAATTTTTGTAAATTCACATACAGTTAAGTGCATAGCATAGGGAGAGTCATGCAATTATCAATAAATACCGATACAGTAATAACCAGATTTTGTCAGCGCTTCAGACTTTAATCTTGTAATATTTGCACATAACCGTGATTCCGAAACATTCTCATTCATCTTTAAGGTGGCTGTTTAGGGCATATTTTGGACCAATAAGACCTTTTGAAAAGGCACACAAGTTTCAAAAACATTTGAAACGATTCTCAAAAATGGGGCTGACAAAATCGGGCTTTTACTGTATTTGAAAAATTCATCCCACTTTGAGATGGATCCGACATTAGACAACTCTATAATCATTAGCCTCTGACTAACCAAAGATTTTGAATAGAGATTTCCCCATCTCACTCGTATTACTGCTTTATATTTTAAACACGATGCTGGCAGAGCAGGATATTGTGTTTGATGGCATACTCTCAAAGGGTAAATTTGCATGGAAAAAATTTAGGCATTCAATAAACAATTTTTTAACATATGGTCAGTGATCATGAGCCGCCCGAGGATGCAGTTCCATTATTGCCAGATCAGCTGTAATTACACAGAAAACCAATAGACGTTGCTTGTGACTAGCATTCATCCTCAATGTGTAAATACTGGTGATCTTAAATTAAGCACTACCGGCGCCGGCCACATCCGAATGCTGGTCAAGAAAGGAATGGGTAGGACTATGTTGACTCGCTTTAATGAAATCACCTCTGCACTTCCCGGAGAAATCACTGATGAATAAAAGGGTTGGGATTACAGCAGGATTCGTTTTGGTAAAGGATATGCTGCATTGATATCCTAAAGATGCAATAATGCGAAGGTGCTTGAGTTTTAACCCACGGTCTTCTGCTCAGTATGCAAAATCGGTCGCCACTAGGCTAGTGAGCTCCTTATATAAAAAAAAAATACGATCAAGTTGCAACCAGTGCACTGCAGTGGTGTCTGTCTGTGTAAGATTAGTGAGATTGTCGCGATCCGAGATGGGAAATGACAGGTGGGCAGGAACTCATGGTCTAATAAACTAATAAACTAATAGCTAATACTAATAAACAAATAAACACGAGGAGCATATCTTATAGCAAAACTTGCCATAACAAAATGGGCGGTTCATTTAAGTAAACAAACTAACACTTCTTCCGACTGTGTCACCTCTCTTACTCGCCTAGGTCGCGATCAGTGTTCCGTATTTTGTGTATAACAATATGCCAAGGAAAGGTTGGAAAGGTTGGATATAGGGGCCTCATAGCCTAGTCAGTAAAGACACGGTATTATCAAGCCGGAGGCGGTGGGTTCGATTCCCGGTCCGGTCGAGGGAGTCTTTCGGGTTGGAAATTTGCTCGACTTCCCTGGGCATAGAGTATCATTGTGCTTGCCACACAATATACAAATTCATGCATTGGTATTGGCATCGAAAGCTCTCAATTAATAACTGTGGAAGTGCATGTGAAGTGAACACTAAGTTGAGAGCACGCAATAAGCTAATATGCGCTAAGCAATAAGCTTGAAATGCGAACAAGAAGAAGAAAGAAGGAAAGTTTGGAATACAAGCCACCAACACCACCCACCGCCCACAAAATCAACCGCTGGACAGTACGTAGCCACACCACTGAACCACATGAAGTTCATCTACCCACCACCAGATGGCACTGTTAACTGGATTTGGCGGCCATTAGGAAGTGGTATAATGGGGGCCATGATGAGTGGAAATAATGCGGAAGGACGATGGCTCATCGTGGAGGAGGGAGAATAGGTCAGCCGCCATCGATGAGAATCATTTGCTAGCCGATACTTCGACAATTATAAATTGGCAAGTTTGAAATTCCAGAAGAACCATGAACAGAACCGTGAAGACGGGAAAGAAGAGAAAAGGGAGAGTGAGGTGCAGAACCATCCAGGACCCCGTAATTTACCGCTGGAAATTCATCTACGTCGTGGTCAGACCCCGTAGTGTCCGTCATTTGACATACGGTGCGGTTAAACCCCGAGCATCTTCCGATACCAAAGTATCAGGGAATACTCACCAATCTGCCTATCGACCGTAGGCCGACCAAGTCAAGGGTTCAAAAACGAAGACAAGGAACCGACTGGAGTGTGAATAGTGAAGAAAAGTGATCAGAAGAAAGTTGAATAACGCTGAATAACGAGAAGAAGAGGAAGAAGAAGAAATGGTAGGCAAAACTAGGTACGAGATAGACAATAAGGAAGTGGGAAGAATAAAGGTATCTGTAGCTAAACGAGAAATACAGAGGTAGTTTGTTGTGTGTGTAAGATATTTTAATGTTTTCTTGGCCGCGATATTCAAGCGCGTATGCCAACCCTGAGGCAATGTAAAGAGGATCTCATTAGTGCAGGGAGTACCCCACATGTTACAAAGTTTCCCTTCAATTTGCTGTTACTAGGTTTCGGTCCCGGCGACGACCTCACCGATGACGACAGAAATGGCTCTTGACAAGAATTTGTTTGCACCA